GATGAAGTCATACTGTCCCTGTTTGCAGATGACATGATCCTATATATCGAACAGCCCAAATCATCTATTAAAAAACTCTTAGAGGTGATAAAAGAGTTCAGCACAGTAGCAGGATATAAAATCAACACACAAAAATCAGTAGCATTTCTTTTCACCAATAGTGAACAAGCAGAAAGAGAAATAAGAAAGCCTGCCCATTTACAATAGCCACCAAAAAAATAAAATACTTAGGAATTGAACTAACTAAGGATGTGAAAAATCTCTATAACGAGAACTATAAACCACTCCTGAGAGAAATTAGAGAGGATACAAGAAGATGGAAAGACATCCCATGCTCCTGGATTGGAAGAATCAATATAGTGAAAATGACTATACTACCCAAAGTAATATACAAATTCAATGCAATCCCCATCAAAATTCCAATGACATTTCTCTCAGAAATGGAAAGAACTATACAAACATTTATTTGGAATAACAAAGACCATGAATAGCCAAAGCAATGCTGAGCAAAAATAATAAAGCTGGAGGCATTACTCTACCTGACTTTAAACTATACTACAAAGCTATAATAACCAAAACAGCATGGTACTGGTATAAAATCAGAGACACTGATCAATGGAATAGAATAGAGCACCCAGAAATCAACCCATGCACTTACTGCCACTTGATCTCTGACAAAGGCACCAAGCCTATACATTGGGGTCGGGACTGCCTCTTCAGGAAAGGGTGCTGGGATAACTGGATATCCATATGCAGAAGATTGAAACAGTTAAGTTTTGCATATTACATAAGAGGAGAGGCTTTGAACATTCTTGCCACAAAGAAATGATAAATGCATAAGACAATGAATACACTAAGTTCCCTGACCTGATCAGTATATAACATACATATGTATCAAAATATCAGACTGTACCCCATAAATTTGTACAATTACAATGTATCCATAAAAATAAATATTTTTTAAAAAATACAAAATAAAAAAAGATACCCTGGAAAAGTATTCACACCCTGGGCCATATGAAGTTTCAACACTGGGGTATGAATGCGTTACCAGCGATGAGCAAGTTAGCCACTGAGCAGGACTAGACACGGCGGGAACCTCTCACCAGGGGATGTGGAACACCCCAAGGGAGTTGGAATTAGGGAGGATTTGGGCGGAGAAGGACGGCAGGCGCTGCTGATGGAGATGAAAGTCAGGAAGTCGAGGCCGGGAGGGCATCCCGAACATGCTGGGCACCACGCAGCCTCACGTGCATGCGCCCCGGCCTGCTCTCGCACATAAAGGAGAGCTACCACAGAATCAACCCTGAATATTTTTGCAATCAAGTATGCTGAAGAACGAGGTTATTATGCTAGACAAAAAAAGTTTTTTTAAAAATTAAAAAAAATCTTAAATATAATTATGAATGATGTTCAAAATGAGATCTAGTAAGCGCCCCCTGACCCAGGCTGCCACCCCAACTTGAATTCATGCAAGTTTGCTATGTTCTAGGGAGAGGACTATACCCTAAAGGGTAAGAGGCATGCTTACCTTGAACGTTATCATATCATACCAATTCTTCTACCCAATAGGTAATACAACTTTTTTTCCAAAAACTATTATAAAAACTGATCCTATATTAGGCACCTCCCACAAAAATCTTAAGACTGAAAAAAAAAAAAAAACAATGAATCACCACAATTCAGTAAACTCCAGAAATTAAGAATAATGTTTACATTTTAAAAAGCTAACCATTTGGCTATTTAAAAAAAAAAAAAAAACAACTTCAAAATAACTCCTAGATTGAAGAGGAAATAAAAGCTGGAATTATACACTATTTGGAAAATAGTGACAATTCCAATACTACATATAAAAACTTATGAGCTGTGGCAAGATCTGCACTTGGAGGAAAATACATAATGTTAAATGCTTTTGCTATTAAGGAGGACAAAAGGAAAATAAATGAACTGAGAATTAACTCAAAAGGGTAGAAAGAGGGCAAAAAACCAAGGAGAGAAAAGGAATAGACAAAATGAATTTGTAGAATTAAAATACAGGGAAAGAAGGAAATAGATAAGGAATTAGCTCTTTGAAAAGATTTTAAAATTAAATCTCATTTTAAAAGGGGAGGAAAACACAAATGTCATTAGGACTGAGAAGGCTTTGACTGTAAACATAAATAAGCTTTTACATTTTTTTAAATTATGCTTTTTAATTGACACAATAATTATACATATTTATGGGGTATGATATATTTGGATACATGTAAACTGTGTAAAGATCAAATCAAGGTAATTAGCATATCCATCTCCTCAAATATTTGTCATTTCTTTGTAAAGAAATACCACATGTTCTCACTTATTTGTGGGAGCTAAAAATAAATAAATTAATTCACTTACATACACACACACACACACACACACACACACACAAAACCGGGGGGGAGAGGAAGATATAACAACTACAATTTTTTTTTTTTTGAAGTTCCTACAACAAGCAAATGGAAAGGACATGTTTGGGTGGGAGGGGGGAGAGGGAGGAGGGAGGGAGGTTTCGGTGATGGGACATAATAATCAACTACATTGTATATTGACAAAATTTAAAAATTTTTTTAAAAATTGAAAGAAAAATTTCTTCTTCAGCAGATGAGATTTCATATGACTATGTTGCTGTGTGTTTTACCTGCTATTTCCAAAAGTGTGTTTATGTGATCCCCTTCGGCCAGCTTCACAAATCCAACCTGATCCCCAAAAGTACTGATCCCTTGAAAGGGCAAAGTCAAATGTTTTCCTTGAAGGATTTCTTCTATGAAGGCTTTTAATTCCAAAAGAGCATCAATACCACTGTTAAGAGATAATATATTACTCAGTAACATATTAAGTAATAACATATACAAAACCAAATAAGGAACAAAGTAAACAGTTTTGAAAAGATAAATTAATCGTGATATTTGTGCTAATCATTTTAAAGCTCAAACACCTTCCAAGCCTAATCTCTCTGATTAAAAATATTAATTTTAGGGCCGGCCCGGTGGCGCACTGGATAAGTGCGCCGCTTGGGAAGCGTGGCGGCGCTCCCGCCGAGGGTTCGGATCCCACATACGGACCGGTTCCCGCTCACTGGCTGAGCGAGGCGCGGGAGCAACACTGAGGGTTGCGATCCGTTGCCGGACACGGAAAAAGACAAAAAAAAAAAAAGATTTAATTCACTTCTGCTATAGTTATTTGTTTAAAATTAATATTTTTTTTTTTTTTTTTTTTTTTTTTTTTTTTTCCGG